CCTGGTTGACTCTGTGGCTAATTTTTACTGTGGTTTAGATAAACCTGCTGTTTCTGTTCTTCGCTCTGTTTGATTCTGTATTTCTTGCTCATGATTTCCTCCCACCAACACGCTGTCCTCTCCCACCTCCGTTTCTAGCAGTTTGTCTCTTCGTTTTTCATTTTGTTTGTGTGTTTCATTTTGGGGGCTGACTGTTTTTCTGTTTTTTTAAGAAAATATATATTTTATCCAGATGGAAAGGATTATTCTGTATCATTTGGGTGTTTTAAACACTCCTTTTTGAGAGTTTTATTTTTTAATGATAAGTAACCACACTGAAAATGAAACAAAAATCTAACTTTCCATTGCTAACTATTTAAAACCTCATCCAAAGCCTCTTATTAAGAACGACAGGAAAGCGCGATGAGGACAGAAGATAATCGAACATTATTCTGTTGACGAACAGGCCACTTCTGCCATGCAAATCCCCCTGAGCCTGATTATCACATGTAAATAAGTTTGATTTCCCTGCTGCCTTTTCCTGCCTCATTTGCCAGGGAAATGTATTACAGTTGGATTAAACAGTCTTCCATATACAGTGCTGCTCAGGCTCCGCTTACAGGTGTGAGGTAATGCATGATGGATGCAAAGCATAGGCTTTCTTTGGGATCTCAGTGACTAATAAAGGTAACTCAGCCACGCAAACCTATTAATCATCTCTTAAAATTTCTAGACTCATTTTGACAATAAAGAGTTAATTTATTTGAACTGAAATATGTTGGTTTTAATAACAGCTTAAACACCATTTCAGATTGTATTCAATTCTTTGAAGGGTTCATTCCTTTAAACTTTTTTAGAAGGTGCCACCATAGATTTTTATTTAGGTTCAGTTTAGGGCTTTGACAGGACCTTTGCAACTCCTGGCTTGCTTTTTCTTTTTTTATGCAGAAGATTTCATGGTTATCTTGCTGACTCCATGGTGCTTATCTCTGGCTGCAAAAAGAAGAGTTACTGTAGAACTGGTTTGCACTTGCATGCTATGTTTGGTTTTCTCCAAACAGATTGCTCTGCAGTATGACCAGACATCTCATCCCATCTGTCCAAACAACCTGCTTCCATAAGTCCTTCCGTTGTTTTTAGGTGCTAATTTGCAAAACTAGAAGGGATCTTACTGCATGGGGTCTTATTTGTGGCTTGTAGTTCTTTAATTTTTGTATTTAAAGCATTTCTTTAGGAATATTTTATGTCAGTAGTATATTGAGATATTTATTGAGAGATCAGTCAGTCTTCGTGATAGTGAAGGTAATGCAGCCGGTTTTAATGCAGTGACAGAGAATGGGATAATTTTTTTGTCTTTGAAGTAACTAATAAAAACCGATCTTCGAACCTGACGCGTAGATAAAGGAGGTCTAATATAAAGCTTTGCTGGTAAAGTGTTTCTGATTATGAAGCACATCAATAATTTTTACATGGAATATTTACCTAAAAAAAAGAACATGATTATCAACAGAAAAATATAATAATTTAATCAAAGTTTTATGTCTTTAGTTTTTCTTTTTTTTTAACACACTGCAACAAAGTGAAATCTAAGTTTATTTTTCTTAACATAAGAGCACTTTTTCTGGAATTAAGCAGTTTCGTTATACACTATGCCTATGGAATAAGGCAATTTACATTTAAAATAAGAAAAAAACAACAACGGCAGTCTCTTATTTCAAGTGCATAATATCTAATTATCTTATTTTATACTTGTAATACCATAATTGTAAGAGCAAAAATGCTTATTTACCTTCTCAAATTAATGGTAAATACACCTAATTTAACAAATTTTTACTAATTTTTACATATTTTTTGCAGTGCAGATAACTTAATAGGTTGATGATCTAAAATATTAGCAGAAAAAAAAACGTCAAATATTTTTATTTGTGTCTTTTTGCAGTTTCAACCCTTGTTTGATTCGTATCAGCAGTGTTTCATTACTATCCTGATATTCATGTACCAGGCTGTAATCTGCCGATGTGGGTCAGATGAATAATCTCTGCTGGGCAGTTTGCCTTCCATAATCTGACCAGCCTTTAGCGTTGCCTGCCATGGTTCAGATGATGGCAGAAATTTAAGCTCATTTTAAACATTTTACAAAAATCTTTGAATCAGTTTGACCTATTTAGTAGAAAACTGGATGTAATTTGAGGAATGGAAATCCGTTCTACACACGTTCCTAACTCTAAAACAAATATAAATTAATTCAAGCATTTCTTGTCAGAACCTTTGAGTCGCAGACATTGCACCCATTTTTCAGACTTAAAGATTCATTTCCTTCCATGTAGAGTGAGATGGATGGTAAGGGAGGCAGAACAAAAACCCTTCAAAGCTCTCTGATGGAGAACTGCAGCAACCATTAGATAGCATCTAAACGTCGACAGGTTGTTAGGGAGAAGATAAGGTAAAGGCTTTTCCTGTCAACCATCAAAAAAGGTGAGCATGTTCATTTAGTAAACACTACTGGGACCTTAAATGGACCTGTGTGCATTGGTCTGATCAAACTTCTATTAGGTTTCTTAGCAATGAACACTAAAGTAATGAGCAGGGGAGGAGCTAGACTTTATGTTGTGAGAGAAAGTGATCTCAAGGGGGTCCAAAGACATGTTAATGAATCTGTTTCTTGATCTATTGCATTTGAAGTTACTAAACGTTGAATATATTTAAATACATGAAACACAGCATGGCAAATATCAGCATGTTTATGTTTTTAAAAATGGTTCACTGAATTTCTTGCAAACAAAAAAGCAAACTAAAGTTCAGGCTGTTCATTATTTTACCATGTAAACATTTATTGGTGCAGAATTTGTGCTTTTTTGTATTTTTAATTTTTATTTCTCCTCCTTTTTTATTGCAACTGTTAATATTTGATTAACAATTTAACGGTCCCCTCCCCCTCCCCGGATAATATATAGATAATATATCATATTATTTAACATTGGTAGTATTAGATAATGCATCTTGCTTTTAGAATCAATTAATGTTTTTTTTTGTGTCAAACTTTACACTGTAATCTTAATTTAAAGCTTGTTAAATTAGATTTTTCCTGCTGCATTGACGGATAATTTCATTTGTATTTAGCACCTTTTTTCCTTACATGTCACAGTAACAGAAAATAGTCCTGCATTGAGATATAGATTTAAAGGTATAGTGGAGGATTTTCTTTTACCAGGTGGATCATTAAAATAAGTGGTCCTCCTAATTGTCAATCATTCTGGTGATATGTTTCCCTAAGGCCGTCCTACGTGCTCGTCCCCATTTTCCCTTACCTGTGGTGAGTCTGACATAGTGGAGAAATTGCAAATCTGCTTTTGGGAAGTAAGCTTGTATGAGCGATGCAAAGAGCAACAGAGCGTGCACGAGGAGAAATGGTCTCCTGCATGCTCTCACACGCGTTTAATAGGCTTTCCCTCCTGGGAGCGGGTACATGGTTGAGCATGTGCAGTTTTTCTTTTAAGTGGAGAGGGCGGGTCTTTTTTTCCAGCTCACCTTTATTAGTGTAAGTGTGTGAAGGAGTATGTTTTTATCCAGAGACACTTTCAGAACCAATTACAAAATGAGATTAATGTTGACTTTAGATCACTCGTATGTAAAGGGGAACGCCGTTTTTTTTATTTTTTTTTTACATTGGGCCCTTGATTTTACGTTATTACATCATGTTCTACTCACCCATATGAGGTTTGTGTCATTTGGAGCTGTTCTGAAGATATTCCGTTAGGTTATATCCAATAACGTCTTCCTATGGGCAACGAATTGAAGGCACAAACTAAACTGTTCATAATGTATTGTTTATGGTACGCCAGCATTTATAACATGTAGGCGAATCACTGTCCCCCAGACATCCGCGGTTATATTTTTTATATTTATATTGTTTTAAAACAAAGCGGTGCATGTATGACGTCATCCGCGTGCCGGACTGGAGTAGTGACAGGAAGCCCAGGCCAAAGGCGGCTACGCTCTACCCCTTCTATTCATTCAGCTAGCTAATCTGAATCGTTCAATTCCATTTCGAGAGTGAGATCATCTGTGATAGTAGCACTAGACATCTTCCAGGCATGTGAGTAAAACTAGCAGCAGGATGAAGGAATGGTAGCCGGCATACACGGATGACATCATACACACTCCGTTTTGTTTTAAGAAAATATAAATCTAACAAATATAACCGCCGATGTCTGGGGGACAGTGATTCGCCTACATGTTATGAATGCTGGCATACATAAAGAATAAATTATGAACAGTTTAGTTTGTGCCTTCAAGTCGTTGCCCAAAGGAAGACGTTACTTGGATATAACCTAACCGAATATCTTCAGAACAGCTCCAAATGACACAAAACTAATATGGCTTAGTAGAACATGATGTAAAAACGTAAAATCAAGGGGCCAAAAAAATAAAAACGCCGTTTCCCTTTAAATTAAACATTTAGGCTTTTAAAACTGGTTCAGATTTCCAGGCTGCTTCATCAACTTTCTTAAGGTGCTGCACTATTAAGGTAAAAAAAAAACAAGGTTTGAATGATGACATTTCCACACAGTAAAACAAAGTGATTTTTAAAAATCTTAATACATTATTGTGGAAAAACCAACCAAACAAACAAAGCTTTGTTCTTCTGCAGCTCTGCCTTAGATCATAAACTGTTGTCGTTTTACTTTCCTTGATTTCCCTCCTTTTATCTCTGGTTCAGACTCATTTCACTGTAAATCATTTGAACCGTTTAGAATTTAGTAGAAACTTCTCACAAACTGAAGCTGCAACTTAGAGATATAATATTAATTAAAAAAAACATAAAATAACTGAATCTTTTCAGAATCTCTTAATAATTAATTTGGACACTTCCTCCTCATCCACCACCAATGTTTTAATTTCTTTTTTGAATTAAGGTGTAATTCTACACGTCTCTGAGTGGGTTAAGCCTGCTTCACTGTTTCTGGTGTTTTTAATCTGATATTTTTAAGTTTTTACTAAAAATCCGACTTTGTGTCCAGATGACACGGTGTCGGCCAGCAGCAACATGGACATGGAGGACAGAGTTTCTCATCTGGAACAGAGGCTGCAGCTGCAGGAGGATGAAATCCAGCTGCTGAAAGCAGCCTTAGCTGATGCTCTGCGCCGCCTGGGTTCCTGTGAGGAGCAGGGGACGCCTGCAGGGGGTGCTCATGCTGGGAGGAGACCGCTGGCTACTACAACTTCAGCGCCTTCTACCAAGGGTAAAAACCATTGCATCATTCTTATAGGGGTCATAGAATTGTTATATAGGGTATTTAGTGCTGGTCCTTAAGGTCTCTGAATAGGGTATGTAACATTGGTTGGGCTGAACATGGCATATTTGCTGTTCTATGCGCCCTAATGCAAGCCTGGTTTAGAGCCCCAGAATGAAGCGACATTACTATTTAGATGAGCTGTGCACTGATTGGTTGGTTTACAACGAGCGAAGCTGCTGAGCAAAGATGCATCATAGCAACAAGCACTCACTCACTGAAACATTGAGATTGTTGATATGGTAGGGTGACCAGACTTTCTCTTTTTCCTGGACATGCCCTACTTTTCATACCTAAAAAAAATGTCCAGGGTAAATTTCGACTACAGTGCAGCAGAACTGAGGCGTGAGCTCCAGGGCTGGTCCGGGAACCCTGGCGGACGGTGGCAGCGAGCCAGCCGGGGACGAAGCGACCAAACCCGACCCGGTGACGGTATGCTCCACTCCGCCTGCCGTTCCGGTCAGGTGGGGGGAAGCACGGGGCCGCCGGTGTCCAGGCTACCGTCACCGGGTCGGATTCTTTCGCTCTGTCCCAGGCAGGCTCGCTGCCCCCCCCGATCCAGTCAGCAGCCCAGCATTTTCAATAGAGAAACTGCCTGCTTTGTAATTCTTGTAGAAATAAACCCAGCTGTAGGCTAAACAGCTAAAATGGTGTCTCCCATCTACCTCTATTCATGTTCTTGGGCCAGTGAGCCAGTGGGCTGGTCTCTATGTTAATTTCGGGGCGACATCCAACCACTGACGTCAACTCAGGGCTTCTTTTTGATTTGCCCGTTCTATGGTGGAAGTTTAGAATTGTGAGATTTGCAGAGAAATTAGGTTTCGATGGGGTTTGAACTTCTCTGTACGTTCATTTCACCCACTGAACTATCATTATTCATCTATGACAATGGAAACTTGGTTTTGCATTCTATGACCCCTTTAATATAACATATGGAAATTACTATGATAGAAAAAAATCAAATTCTAATGACATGGTGCATGTAAGGCCAAAATAAGTCCTGAGTAACAGTTGGCTCTGCAAGACAAGAGGGAATTTATATAAAAATAATTTAAAAAATTGCGTGTTTTTTGTAGAAAACATCATGTGGATAAGGTGGAAGTTGAGGTTTAAAACTTGTGGTTGAATTTCTCCAAAGCTGAAAACCTGGATGGATGATTCAATAGATCCTGAAATGAATGTTGAATATTTACAGTCTTAGTTGGAACAGTTCTAGATATATATAAAATAATTCATGGAAAACTGAGTTTAGAAACTAAAATTGTAAGTTGCATTGTAAGAGTCAATGTATAAACAATATATTAACAGGAAAGCAAATCCAGTCTTCATTTTGTCAACAACTGTTTTTAATGTTTAAGTGGGGAAAATGTTTTTCGGCTGCAAAATTTCTCAGACTTTCTTAAGCCTTCCTGAAGAAGAGCCTTATTACCAGAAGTCGTTTTATACCATACTGAGGATGCGGCGTTGCAGTGAACGCAAGTGTCTCTTATTCTGGTTGATAAAAAACACACATTTTATCACAAATATATATTTTGTTATGTCAAAGGTTTTATTTCAGCATATATACGTGACTTTGGAAGGCTTAAAAATGCATATGTATGTTTCAAATCAGTGTTGACTGCTGAAGCTTAGAACATTGGTGTTTTATAGCCTACAGGTATTGTTGTGTGTTTAGGATGCACTGATTAGCTTTTCATGTGTCACTTTCCAGTTCGCCAGCTTCTGCAGGCCCTTCCTTCCAGACCTCTGAGTAATGGCTACGTTCAACAGAAACGCCTCCTTTCCTCGCCCTCATCTCCAAAGAAAGAGGTGCTGCAGTCTATTAAGAGGTAGGATCAGGAAGGATAACGGAAAGAAATAAAAGAAAATGGAGCATTTGGAAAAAGAAAAAAAGAGCTTGCCCCCCCCCCATCCTTCCTTTTTGTTTTTCTCTGTTTTTTGTTTTTTTCTTCATATATTTTCAACCTTCCAACTATAGATGTATCAGCCTCAGCTTATTGAAGGACATTTATACTTTAGAATAAGCAAAAGGTTTGGGGAATTCTTCCAAATTTCTTTCAATTATGTTTTTAAAGAAAATAAAATAGATGTAGATAGCAATATAGATATAGGTGGATAGATGATATATGTGTATGAAAACACTGAAGAACATTTAGAGGCTAAAATACTTTTTTAATATATAGATTCAACAGAGGATTTTCTCAAATTATTACTTTAATTTCTTTTTCAGTGACTTTTTTTCCTGCATTTTTTTAACGGTTCCTGCTCTAAAAATCACTAATGTAAACTATTGTGGATATCAGCGTTTCCAGTTTTGTGATTGGACCATTACCTTGCAGCAGCTTCACACTGTAGAGTGTGACTGATCGCTTAGTAAAATCTTAATGTTCAGGACATGCATGTCTTACTCTTTTATTTTATTTCTTTCACCTTCAGGAAGAGCATGTCCACAGAGAGACTCACCCTGATTAGAAGAGAGATGGCAGCAGAGAGTCGGAGTCGAACCACCTCCTCCAGCAGCTCCTCTGGTGGAAAAAGGTAACTTCTCCTGCAGAGAGCAAGAAAAAACATATTTTTCAGTCTGCAACAACCATATATACTGGACTAGCAATGGAAATGTATGAATTGTTTTCTTATTTTATTCTTTTCTATTAAACAAGTTTAATAGAAGTTTTAATGATTAGTCAGGCTGATGTAAAGACCTGCTACCATTTCTACTGTTTATCTCCTAGTAGGCATACCTGTTGAATCAGTGTTTGTGAGAAAATAGAAAATTATTGATTTTAGTCATCAGTTGAATTAGTGGGCATTGCCAGATCAAAAATTTGACTTTTTGTATTGTTCCACTTGGATCAGCAAAGGTGTGTATATATATATATATATATATATATATATATATATATACATAAAAAGCAAAACACATCTAGTATTTTGTTGCATACATAGGGAGGGTAGCGGGCACTTGATTTACAGAATGCAGGAAGCCCAGAATACCAATATATGCTTTAGAAATCCACATTTATATACAGGTGCTGGTCATAAAATTAGAATATCATGAAAAAGTAGATTGATTTCAGTAATTCCATTTAAAAAGTGAAACTTGTATATTATATTCATACATTACATACAAACTCATATATTTCAGATGTTTATTTTGTTTAATTTTGATGATTACAAATGACAACAAATGAAAATCTCAAATTCATCATATCAGAAAATTAGAATATTACTGAAGACCAATAAAAACAAAGGATTTATAGAAATGTTGGCCAACTGAAAAGTATGAACATGAAAAGTATGAGCATGTACAGCACTCAGTATTTAGTTGGGCCTCCTTTGGCCTGTATTACTGCAGCAATGCGGCGTGGCATGGAGTCGATCAGTCTGTGGCACTGCTCAGGTGTTATGATAGCCCAGGTTGCTCTAATAGTGGCTTTTAGCTCTTCTGAATTGTTGGGTCTGGTGTATTGCATCTTCTTCTTCACAATACCCCATAGATTTTCTATGGGGTTAAGGTCAGGAGAGTTTGCTGGCCAATTAAGAACAGGGATACCATGGTCCTTCAACCAGGTACTGGTAGCTTTGGCACTGTGTGCAGGTGCCAAGTCCTGTTGGAAAATGAAATCTGCATCTCCAAAAAGTTGGTCAGCTGCAGGAAGCATGAAGTGCTCTAAAACTTCCTGGTATGTGGCTGCGTTGACCCTGGACCTCAGAAAACACAATGGACCAACACCAGCAGATGACATGGCACCCCAAACCATCACTGACTGTGGAAACTTTACACTGGACTTCAAGCAACGTGGATGAAGTGCCTCTCTTCTTTTCCTCCAGACTCTGGGACCTTGATTTCCAAAGGAAATGCAAAATTTACTTTCATCAGAGAACATGACTTTGGACCACTCACCAGCAGTCCAGTCCTGTTTCTCTTTAGCCCAGGCAAGACGCTTCTGACGCTGTCTGTGGTTCAAGAGTGGCTTGACACAAGGAATGCGACAGCAGAAACCCATGTCTTTCATACGTCTGTGTGTGGTGGTTCTTGAAGCACTCACTCCAGCTGCAGTCCACTCTTTGTGAATCTCCCCCACATTTTTGAAGGGGTTTTGTTTCACAATCCTCTCCAGGGTGCGGTTATCTCTCTTGCTTGTACACTTTTTTCGACCACATCTTTTCCTTCCCTTCGCCTCTCTATTAATGTGCTTGGACACTGAGCTCTGTGAACAGCCAGCCTCTTTAGCGATGACCTTTTGTGTCTTGCCCTCCTTGTGCAAGGTGTCGATGGTCGTCTTTTGGACAACTGTCAAGTCAGCAGTCTTCCCCATGATTGTGTAGCCTATAGAACTAGACTGAAAGACCATTTAAAGGCTTTTGCAGGTGGTTTGAGTTAATTAGCTGATTAGAGTGTGGCACCAGGGGCCATCAATTTTGAACCTTTTCACAATATTCTAATTTTCTGATATGATGAATTTGAGATTTTCATTTGTTGTCATTTGTAATCATCAAAATTAAACAAAATAAACATCTGAAATATATGAGTTTGTATGTAATGTATGAATATAATATACAAGTTTCACTTTTTAAATGGAATTACTGAAATCAATCTACTTTTTCATGATATTCTAATTTTATGACCAGCACCTGTAGTCTATACATATAAGGCATCCGTGTTTGAAAGTTTTTATGAAATCATACTTTTTAATAACAAAATTTTGATTTTTTTTTCTTCCTGTTTTTAAGCTTTTTTCTAATACCAGTAAACTAACCATGAATTGGGCAGGTTAATTAAAACAATTATTAAATTCAGACTAGGGGTGTAAATCACACCCATCATGGCGATTCGATTCAGTATCGATTTCCTGACCCAGTGATTCGATTATTTTCAATACTTAAGAATACATCATCTTCTTTTTCCTCCGCCTCGTCTGTCTTGCCTACTGTTTACGTGACTGTGTGTGTGCATGCAGAAAGAGGGTAGTGGCTAAAGGAAGCTTGTTAGGAGGGCAAAATAGGTTTAGCGCCACCGCAGCACGGGAGTCAGAATTACATCCAGGAGCAAGTGGATAAAAATAGACTGGAGGAAGAAAAAAGACATGAATCAATACTCTTGCAGACGTGTCGATGCATCGGATCGTCAGCTGATTATTATTTACACCCCTAATTCAGACTATGAGAGATTCACAGTTTATTCATAATGATGTGGGAGGCTGATAAACTCAGGGAATAAAAAACAACTTTAAATAAGAGTTATTAATGCTGAAACCAGATGTTTATCATGGGGGTGGGGTTATTTTAAGACATTAATTTTGGAGAGAATTCACACAGACTTCAAACAAAAGAGAGATGATGCAGGCCTGTAGGGAAAAGATAACCAAAGATCCTCTATAAAAAAGATCTAAAAACAACAAAACAATTTAGATAAATAAATATTTTGAATTTAGATAACTGCTCCCTCTTAAAAATAATTTTCAACTTTTCCTCCACTATCAACCAGCTTCCCTCCTGCTTCTGATGGATCAAATTTCAAACCCTTCTCAGTAAAGGGTTGTGGTTACTGGGTAGAAGGGGGCGTTGCTTTGGTTTCCAATCTGCCCTCTGATTGGCTGTCAGGACCCTTTAGGCTGAGCTAAAAGTTTGCAGAGGAAAGGAGGAAGTGTGTTTGCTGTTGTGGCTGTTGAAGACAGACGACACTAACTGCTCAGTTTGCTGTAAACTGTTAACTCTAACGGAAAGGCTGCAGACATGAAGCGATCGACCAGGTAAATACCTGCTTCACTGCATAATGTTTATACCTGTAAAGTGTGAGCAGAGAGCACTTATTGCTGTTTCTCCTTGCAGTTTGGTAGCCTTCAGATGGGTTTTGACTCCAATTTGAATGAAGTATGGATTGCTCAGTCACTATGGCTGCTGAAACCCACTAAGGCTTTAATATCCCTGATAACATTCAGCTTTAGCTTCTGCAGGATCAGAAGTTGAGGCTCAGCTTGAGGAAGTTTTTTTTTCTGTTTTTGTATTTTATGAAACTGTTGTCACGCGAACAGCTGGATGTGGTTAGTTTCTGCCTCTACAGAGCCGTGGGGAGGGGCAGCAGCAGCAGCATAATGACATGAATTAAAGACAAGCCGTCTATGTTGGTGGGCTGGAGATGAATTATACCAATCTGACAGGGTGGTTTCATACTTTAAGGTTGATAGTTGAGCTGTCATTGAAGCTGCTTGGTGTTTATCAAATATAGATGCATCTGTCAGCTGTGTTTCATTAGCTGGTGGGGCTTATTTACTGCCTTTAAGCAAACAGACCTGCGGGATGTCTCAAGTTATAAAAAGCACAAATGGATCAGGAAGGTAGATGTGACAGAAGGCTGGGCGTGCCGAGCTCGGCGGATCTGTCACTTAACTGGTTATCATGTTAAACCTGCAGAAGGGATGCAGCCTACTCTTTGTTCTGAGGATGAACAGAGCCTTGGCACTCATCCAGGTTCACCTGAGGACCTCCTGACGATCACCTGCTGCTGATTTATTAGGATTCATCACTCTGATGATTTCACTCTGAGGATCAACTGGAAGGTTCGAGAGTCGAAATGCAGCTGCAGGAGTTTTGTTGCAGCAGGTTCCTACAGGCCCGGAGCCACTGGGACCCATGGTTATAATTATCTCTGCTGTTCATCCCTAGCTGATAACATTGATTAGACTTCCTGCTGAACGGGCAGTAAACACTGATTGGAGCCTTTTGCACAGCCAGGATCTGGTTAAACACTCTTTTCCCCTAATTTAATAACAGTTAATTTTATACATAGTTTAAGTTGGTTAATTTTAAAGCACAAGATTCATCTTCCAGTGTTTGATTATATCTAAATGTTGTGATTCATCTATCTGTTAAGTGGTAATAGTTCCTGTAAAATGTGTTCTAATCTTTTGCATCATCTTAGTGAAAATGTGCAGAGAATGTACTCATAAAGTTGCCCACTGCAGCACTTAAGTCCTAATGGATCAGTAGATGGATGCTTACTTGACCGCTCCCACTCGCCCTCATTTAAAGGAGGTCCCAAACCATTAGAGAGAGAGAAGAATCTATTTCCTACTTTCACATTTGAATGTGGGGCTTTCTTCTATCATCTCAATGCTTTGTTTTCTTTTAGATCTTTTTAGATTTCTTTAAAAAAAATCATGACCTGGTGTATAGGGAAAAAGTTAAACTGTCAATGTGACTCTAAATGTGATGAAACTCTTGCTGCATGCAAAAACAAAGGCCTTAAAAAAAGCCCAAATGACAAAAGGTCACATAATATGTCATAAATTATTCTTACTGCGGTCGGGATCGGGTCTCATCTCTGAAGGGTTTCAAACAATAAACACCTGAACTCAGAAGAGCTGAAGCAGACATGTTTGAGGTTAAACGAGTCGGTTCTTGTTTTAGATTTTGAATATTTGCAGATTGATTAAAATAAAATCATCTTAACTAGTTTTTCTACTCCTGGTGCCGCTACCTCATCGCTTTTTGCTGCAGGGCCGAACACTCAACCAAATCAACAGACAGCTTTACAGCAGTAATAACGCAGTTCATATGGCAATCTATTTTAACATTTAATCAGCAGGGGATAATTGAAATAATGTGTAAAAAATTATATTATTAAAAAGAACATGACCAATTCTTCAGCAATGAATCTGAGTCTGGTTTAGACATTTTTGATTAATCAGTATTGGAGTTACTCACTAGAGTCGACATTATTTTCTCTTCACAAAAAAAACATGGCAAAACTACTTTTGCATCCTTGCTCAGGGAGAAGGGAAACTTGCAAAAGTCAGGCAGACTTGTAAGGCTGGGTGCGCCCATCACAGGGCAACACGGTAACACACGGGAGAAAGAATCATGGCCATTAAAAACATAAGGGATATTTAGTAACACTAATAAATCTAACACTCATGCTTTTGGACTTTGGGAGGAAACCAGGAGAATGACCAAAACAAACCAAGCATGTATTAGAGAAGCATATTAAATCCATGCAGACAAACTCCCAAGCTGGGATTTTAACCTCCTTCTTGCTGCAAGACAATAGGACTGCCTGCTCATGTACTATGTTTAGTATAATATTTATAATGTATTTATTTTATATGCTACTTTTGGTTTTAGAGTATCAGTAACACTTGATAGAATTAGAGATTCATACAACCTGAGATCCATCAAATTGTCTTTTTTTATTAGATTGACGTTTTCTTTGAAACTATTAAATTACTAGTTTATTTAGATATTTATAAGTTAGTTTTTGCTTAAAAAAAAAAAAAAAAAGAATCATTCCCGTATCCCAGTAGGGTTTTCTCCTGTTCCCTGTCAGTCTTTATTTTAGGCTTTGAACCCGGAGAGCTGTCTTTTTTTTTTTTGACATATTATATTATGGTAATCCTAAATGATAAAACTGCATTCCATATATCCATCAGCAGAAAGAAAACTTCCAGTACTTTAATCCAGTTTGTTTTAGCTTGTCTCTGATGTTTGTCTTGTAGTTTCACATAAGAACTGGTATTTCAGTACACAGCCTATTTCATTATTGGGTGGTTTCCATCCTTCTGTGTTTGAATTTTATGCACACATGCTAGAGGTTATTTTTGCTTTGTTTTTTTTTTGTTTTTTTATTTCTGCAGAAATGCAAGCAGAATAAATGTTAAATTCTCATGTTTTTTGCAGCTTGTCCATCCATTTTTTGTTTTCAGAGTGCAGGCAGGCAGAAAATGTTCTGCATGCTAATGGTCACTTTGTTTGTGCATTTTTTCCCTCTGGGAACCAGGAGACTGTTACACACTATGAGAAGTTTTTAGATGTGGAGGTATTTGCCCTGTTTGGTTGCCAGTCACCCAGCATGCTCTGCTCTAATTACTGTTCCTATGGCAGCCTTAGTCTTTGATTGGTTGCAGTCCTGCCACGCCTCATCTCCCAGCCAGAGCAACACGCAGAGGTCCAGAGAAGAACTGAGCCTTTATGTGGTTAGTTGAAAGAGCCGACGTCCGGCCTGTTAGCCTCCACCTGACCAGAGACAGATCAGACGGCAGCCAGTTCTTTAATCTTCTAAAGATGCTTTGTCTCACTGCAACGCATACAGGCTTAGATCGCCTTTTATGACTCATCATTAAGCTCATCTCGTGTTTTCAGGGAAGCCTTTTGAGGCTGGTTTTTAGACTGTTGCAAACAACTAATTCTCTACTTTACAGATCTGTTTATTTGTACCCTTTTCTCACCCTGTTTGAACCTGATTCAGATAGTTGTCATCTAATCTTCTGTAACTGCAGTAATGTTTAGCCTGTCAGCTGATTTGCTGATGGGGGTCTGACAGGATGGGTTTACTGGTCAGCAACAATGAAAAGGTGCAAATTGTTTGAATGACAGCTGAATCAGGAGGAGCAGAGCACAGAGTCCTGATGGACGGGTTTGATCATTGGATTTGTCAGAAGCTGAATAGCTGTTATTTCGCATTTTTCAACCCAGATGAATGTGAAGAACTTTTCTGTTTAACATTTAATCTGTTAGACAGACAGGCTGACCTCCACATTTGGCCCACGCTGTGTGCAATCCTTTCTTCTCTTCTTTTTTTATAAAGTGTACAGTGGGGTTTTTGTACTTTATTCTTAACTTAAAAAATGTTTATTGCCATGTAACCAGGCGACCTGTCGGCTGGATTTTCAGTGAGAAAATGAAATTGTCCAGCAAAGCAAAGTTGAAGTATAAGCAGGTGTATTCGGCTTCACAGTATTCCACCCTATCAAACACACAATCTCTGCCTTAAATAGGCACAGCTGATGAAGGACTGAACCATTTTCATGAAAAAGAAACAATTTCTCACTTAGATTTTAAAACACACATTTAAAGCAAATATATATACACACATTTGCGGTTAACTTTTTAATTTTATTATGATATAAACTTACAGAGGAAACCCATAGAAATCCCCAAAACTATGTGCACAAATACTCCTATATTTTTCAGGGTCTCTCCCAGAACAAAAGGCAACATGGTAAATATAAAAATATGCAATATTTAAATTGAATTAATATTTTAAAATTAAATTCATATTTTAAAAACTTTTTAAAATATTCTTCAATTTGTTCTTTATGTGCAAATCTATGCTTAATGTGCAGTCCTAAATAAAGTGTCCTAGTGCTAACCAAGCTGGTTTTTAATAAAGTGCAATGGCCCCTTAAAGTGCTTCAAGCTATTTGCATAAAAATAGTCCCAGTAATGAAGACCTCTTCATTACATGCCCTTAAAAAAACCTACATATTATCTCTAGTCAAAGAAAATCTGACTCTGCAGACAGAATGTAAAACACATGCATCACTGAAAATACTTGAGCTTAAATCCATTCTCATCTCTGCTTGAAGCTCCCTTTTTTGTATTGTAGTGATGTTAAGAGTAAGATCATCAAAATGTATTTAGTTAGATGGTCAGTTAACTTGCTGCCTGTAGCCTGGCAGCTGAAAGTGGTGCTTTAAGTTGCATCGTGGTAAATAAATTTAGTTTTAATGTAATCATTTTTTTTTTTTGTAATATTTTAAAAAAGGGCAATATTTCAACCTTATTTGTGAGGGAAAATTCTAGAAAAAAAACAGAAATCCACCGATCAAGTTTTTTTCCGATACAATACTTGGGCTGAGTGTATTGGCTGATATCCGATACCGATCCAATCTGTCCGACTTTTTAACAAGTGAACTACAGTGGAAACATTTGGATCAATTGTGATTAATCGATTATTGATATAATCATCAACTACTTTAGTAATTGAACATTAACTGGAATATAGAGACTCTAAAACATGCCTTTAGTTGACCACTTAGTGCAGTAATTATAACAAAATTGTAAAACAATATACATAAACATTTAGCATTTAAGATTAAAAAAAATATGTCTGAATATGTCATATCTAGGGCTATAACTAACAATTATTTTGCAAAATGATTAATCTGTCAATTATAATTTTATCTATGAATCGAATAGCTAAAGATCTTTAACATTTTTTAAAATGAACAAACAAAACTAAACCAGGTGAAACTTAAACTTTTCCACTTGAGGAGTAGAGAATGAATAGAGAATATTGATAGACAAATAGATTTTCTTGTTTTTTTTTTATCTTAAATGCAACCCAATTAACCCAATTAATTGTTTCAGCCCTACTTAAAACCAGAACTCCTTAAGTGGAAAAGTGTTAGTTTCACGTGGTTTCATTTTCTAAAAAATGTTCTTTAAGTAATCCCTGGCTATCCGATTATTAATCGAAAAATACTTTACAGATTATTTTGTAAGATTTACAAAATAGTCGTTAGTTGCAGCCCTAGAATGAACCCTATATGTTGCTATGTTAATGAAGACGAGGCTTGTTTTAAACATTGTTAAAAAAGGTAAATTAACGCAGATATAAATATACTTCATGTTGTTTATTAGGAAATGAGCAAGAAAAAGAGACAAATGAGCTTCATGTAAAGTGCACTGAATTTGATCTTCAATATCAAATCCCCGATATCCGTTTCAGCTAATTAGTCAATATCGGAGCCGATATCTGATCCAGCTATTAGATCTTTGTATCTGTAGAACCAAATATTTCCCCCACCTAGAAACCTGTTGGGGGAGGAGAAGTGATGCTGTTTAATGCTATAAAAAAGCCTGACCAATCTATTGTGTGGTTTCTATAATCAAGTTATCTCTCCTGAGCGGTTATCAGATGCCACCGATGTTCTACTCATGTAAGATTTGTCGGCCCGAGTTTTCTTTTGTGGGTCTAAAGACCGGCTTATTGTTGCTTCCTGGTTTCCAATCTGCAGCTGAAAGCTGTGCTCCACATTGTTTTTCTGCTGACTTTGATGTTTCCTTTTGCTGTCCACTCAAAGTAAACAGAGTTAAAGCCTGCAGATAAAATGATTTGGAGGAGGAATTATAATGGAGCTCATTGTTAGGGAATTATAAAACACTTGAATGCATCTTATGTATGTACTGTAGGTTTAATAAACTCCCTGGCTGAATCTTTTCTATCTTTCATCATAAAAAAATGGTTAAAGTTGCTGATCAATGTACAGTATACAGATTGTTGATTATTCTTTTTTTCTCTCACTCAGCAAATCCAAAGAATGCACCTACAATGCAGGTAAAAAAACATTTTTTTGATTTATAGATATCACTTTGTTATTGTCTACTCTGTGTTTAGAAAGCCATGCAAAAGATTAAACTTTTCTTTTTTTACATCACAACCTAAAACTGCAATGTATTTTACATAAAAGACCAAGACAATGTGTTGGATAAACAGGAAGAGGCAAGAAAAGGATAATTTGTTAAATGTAAAACCTCCATATAAAGCCCAGCAGTAACAGGTTTAAAGCAGGATGTGGTTATAAAATGGAATTCAAGTTTTTTATTTGTGGTTATTTTTATAGCTGATATAGAAGATGGCGGTGGGAAAGATGTGTAATAAATATATCACAAATAATGTGATAAACATCCATGGCTGCTACATGACAGGATTTGAATTAAAAGACCAGATAAGGTGGAAATTTATCTGAATCAGATATTATTTACAGATCATCACAACTATATTTACGTTATGATTTTCAAAGATGATGAATTGAATTTTTTTCTTACCCCACATAGATTTATTTATTTTTTATCTGGTCTGGATGTTTATAGCTTCTGTCATTTTTCCGAATGCCACTGCTTTTCTTAGGCTTGACCTTCTCTGCTTTTCGCTCCGTAGAACCACTGATCCAGACGGGTTGTTTCTCTTTATTTTCTCCCCCAGAGGACGGCTATGTGAGGATGTTCCTCCGCGGTCGTCCTGTCACCATGCACATCCCTGACCAGCAGAAGGAGGGCTACAGCCTGGACCAGAAGGTGGCGCTCCCGGACAAGAAGCTGAAACTTCAGTGGGTGTATCCTTGAAATGAGGAGGGGATGGAAATAATGAGGGCTCTGTTTCTTCATTTAGGGTCAAAAGAGTGTATGAAAAACATTTGTTTTCTATTTTTTAAGTTTTGTGGAAATGTATACTGATTTTTCTATTATAGCCCTTAAATAAAGCTTCCTATGATTTTTTTTTATTTAGGGTTAAACCTAAACCCTAAACCAGCTTTAACAGAAAAGTTCATGTTCTGGTACATTCTTAGCAGCTTCATCTTCCCTAACCCAGCTGTGCATCAGATACGGCTACCGCGGCCGCGACTGCCGCTCTAACCTCTACCTGCTGCCCACCGGGGAGATCGTCTACTTCAACGCCTCAGTGGTGGTGCTGTACAACACAGAGGAGCAGCAGCAGAGACATTACCTGGGACACAACAACGACGTGAAATGGTGAAGAAACACAACTAAATGTCATGAGAGGGTCTTTGGAGCAGTCTTCTTTAAACTTATTGTCAGATGCAGAAGCTTCTAGTCCTGAAATAAAGCCAAATCCTTTCAGGATGAGGGGGGATACAGGAATCTCTTTAGGCTCTTCTATAAAGCAAACTTTGACCAGAGATTAGCCCTCTGGACGTTTAGAAAAAATATCTCATCCTTTTAAACTTCCAGAAGGTCCTGGTCTGAGGATACCTGCAGTTGATCTAAAGATTGGGTTATGAGCTTAGCAGAGCTGATTGGTTGATCCTGACCTCCAAACACCTGCCATGTTGTTGCTTTTGTTGCTGCTGTTTTTTAATTTTATACAAGATTAAGATTTAAGCAAACTCTAAGTGATAAAAATGGGCCAAAAGGAGTAGTCGGTTGTGACAAAGCACCAGTTGTACTTTCTCCATTCATTTTTCTAACAACCAGCAGCGTACAGGCTTCAGCTGGGCTTTGCTTCTTTGGACTTTGCTTTTTATCTTCTGCTATTTAAAGGACTGTTAGAGTTTTCACTGGAACCACAATGATGGATCTTATTATCTAACTTCTCACGCTGCCTTTAACATTTTAGTTAAATTATTAATTCCATAATGGCCCAGCTTTATCAATTAGAGCTTTCAAGAAAACATCTTTCTTTCACCACACAAGGCTTCAGGATTTCCTGTACCTCCTAGACTGCATCAGAATTTTCTCTGGAAAACTACTGACCTTCTGTTTTAGTATCAGATATTATTGAACTTCGATTAAATTCACTCGTATGTTTTTGTATTAATTTGGTGATTATTTTCATTTATTATTTGCCTTTAAAGTTACGTTTTTTTCTAAAGCAATGTTAAATGTATTCATACTTAATAAAAATAGTTGAACAAACAGACGCTTTGCTATAAGATTGTAACTTTGTAAGGGTTTTCACAGCACATGTCAGGTGGTTCTTCATGGTTTGATGTGGATTTCTCTAAACCATTTGCTCTGTTGATGCACACAGAAGTTTCTTTCTTCTATCTTAGTTTTCAGTTTTATTGGAAAAGTCTGTGAAAGTCCCTCTTTATTCAATTGAAACAGTTGTTTTGCTGTATGAACTTTCTGCCTACAGTCAGATTCCTGGAAAAATCTCTTCAGGGAGGCGTTTAGGTTCTTCTCCCACCGCGTCTGTTTTAATTACTCCATGTCTTGCTAAAAATGGATTCGCCTTCAGTCACAAACATTGCAACATAATAGAAATAATTACACACAGTCATTTAAAGGTTGCAGACGATAAGGTGTCACCAGTTTATTTTGAAAAGTGTTCAAAATGTCTATAAAAGTCACTTTTCCCAGGAGCTGCACCAGTTTTACACGTATTAGATGGTGGTTGTGAACTATTGGCTCATGTGTTTAAAATAAAACAGAAATGTTTGGCGGGCCGCGTGTCTCATTTTCCTCTCATTTGATCTTCTCAGCCTGAGTGTTCATCCTGACATGGTTACCATAGCAACAGGTCAAGTGGCTGGAAACTCCAAGGATGGAAAGGTACAGTGAATCCCACACTTTAAGCTAATGCTCTGCATCGTCACTAACCAGGAAAAGGAGATTAGAAGCTGTATGTTTAAAACTTTAATTCCATTTATCCTTTTCTTTGGATTAACTAGATTTTTCAAAACCTTTTTAACAAATTTGTCTCATGCTTTAAACAAAGAATATCAGCTATAGAAAGTCCCTCATACAGTCTGAGTTTGAAGCTATTCTGTTCATTAATTATCCTTATCTTAGATGGTAATTAAACCCCAGAATGAGTGTTAATGGTATTTACTCTGACACAACAGCACATAAATCAAATCTAACCTTGAAAACATTTAATTTAAAACTGCTTAAAGACAGAAAATCTGCATTTTTGAGTTTTGACAACATAAACTGAACAATGACTGCTCCTCATATTTTATTTAAAACACTTTTGACTCATTTATGTTTTATTTTTTACTGTCAAAAGAATCGCAGTTCTTTAACTTGTAGACTATAACTATATTTTCTAAACTTCTTTGGATTTTGATCAAAGGACAAAATAAATACTGTATAATTATAATGGATTTTATGCCAACGTTTTATATAGAAGATGTCCATCTTGATTTGTTTTTTTTCTGAAATAGTTTGAGTTCCATTCGAATGCAGACCAGATTAAAAAGTCAAGAACTTGAATAAAACAGAATGAGGAGTTTTCCATCTGAACAGCCAATTAGTTTGTAAACCTTTTTTTTAAGTTGATGCATTTATTTTTTGTTCATCTAAGTGAATTGGAAAATATTTCTTGCAGTTTATCCTTAAATTCTGTACTTCTACACATGTTGGTGTTTATTTTATGGATTTTCCGTCTCCTGCCTGTTCAGCTGCTCGCTCCCCACGTCCGCATCTGGGATTCTGTGAGCCTCAACACGCTCCATGTGATCGGGATGGGGGTGTTCGACAGGGCAGTTACCTGTGTTTCTTTCTCGAAGTCGGTAAGCAGCATCTCCTCCTGTACAGCAGTGGGAAATGACGTGTTTATTTGTTTTTATGGAACATCTGTTTGCTTTATTCAGAATGGTGGTTCCTTCCTCTGTGCTGTGGATGATGCCAACGACCACATCCTGTCAGTCTGGAACTGGCAGAAAGAGAAGCAACTTGCTGAGGTTAAAGTAAGCTGTGCCTCCTGGAGAAATATTTTATCACCATATCAACATTTTGGTATCTGTATCGCAACCAACATGTATTTTGATACTTTTCTGTACTTTAAAAAAAAAAAGAAGACCAAAATATTACAGACTATACTCCAAAAAAGTTAAAAGCAATCCACTGGCTTTGTTTCCAAGTTTAAAGACGTTTCCCTTCCCATCCAGGAAGCCTTTACTTTTTGAGTTTTTTGGACAGTGGGCCGACAGGAAAGGGGGCATGAAAGAGGGGGAGAGACATGCGGCGAAGGATTCAACCGGATTGGAACCCGGTCAGCCGTGTAGAACCCCCGATTTGAAAACATTCAAATTGGAATGGCCGAACGGGTCCACCCCGTTCGGGGTGGTTTGGCTTCTTTTGTAAGCCTGCAATGCCCCATACCCGCCTTAGTGTCTGAAAGTGGGGGTCGAGGTCCTCTGCCCTCCTGTGCAGGGGCTTGGGCTGGAAGGGAGTTCTTCCTGCTATCATTCCTGCTATTTGCATGCTTTCAAAACAAAAACAAGGTTTTGTTGAGCTACAGTATAAAACATCAATCTCAAGGCTATTCCTGATATTTCGAATCAAAAAAGCTTCCTGGATGGGAAGCAAAACAATGTACAGTGGATTGTTTTTAACTTTCTTTTTTTTTGGAATGACTATGACCTGGATGACTGAGCATCTTCACCAACACATTACAGACTTTATTTTAATAAAAAACTCAAAACAATAACATATCAATCAGTAAACTAATAAATAAAACATAGATGGAGAAGTACATTGAGAAATGAAGAAAGTTTCTTCAATATCACTCATTACATGTAACTTAACGGACTTTTTGTCTTGTTTCACCTTCCTCACTGTTGCCAAGCTGTATTCCATCTACCATTGTCAGTCTCTGTCTTGAAACATATTAATATATTCTTATATATAATATATTCTTATGCATATGTGACTGTGTGTCTTTATATAATTTACTATGGGGGACGGATGAAGGTGGTGAGGGCGCCTCGATAGTAACATGGACAATAATACAAACACTGTGATTTAAGGATTGTGATTCCTCATAATGTTAATGGTACGTTGGTCACTAGTCAAATCTCCCAGCCGAAGTTTTACTTTGGATACAGCAACGTTGCCCTTGTTTGTTTGTTTTTCAGCCCACAGCTTTTTGATTTGCTGTTTGCTGTTGTCTGCATTTGTTTTTATTCTAAAAAAAGTCATAAAAATAAATAAAATAACTGCATGAATGATAAATAAAACAAAGAAAATCTTTTCCATTGCACACAATCTTAAAAAAAAAAAAAAATTCTCTCTCTTCTCACATAATTTGTATATTTAAACATTAGATTCAGGCAGAGGGGCAAACAATTATCAGTGATGGCAAGGAAAATAGAGGGATACAACATTATTTCTAAAATGTTATTACTTGTCATGCTTTGCCCAAACCAACACAGAAGAAATACATGTTGTCCAAATTAAAAGTGCATGGATCGAGCCGTGCTTAGAAATTTTTTAATTAGGACATTAAAGTCATGATATTGCTAGTTTTGATTGTATCTGGGGTGAAAAAAAATGAAAAAACTTCAAGCAGAGATTTAGATTAGTGGAAAAAAAGATTAAAATGTTGCTGGTTTCAGTTGGAAGGACGGAGAGAAGAGCAGCAGGGCTCACAATAGCTCTCTGGGTAAAACAAACTGCAGACTGATCAATGCTTTTAGGTGTTTCACTGAGGTCTACAATAATGCAAAGAAAAGTCACCATATGCTTGAAAAGAAAAAGTTACCAAAGGGATCTGAAAACTCAGTCATTTGCAGCAGTGTCCCCTCAGCGCTGCTGCAGGTTGCTGTTGGCAGATCTGCAAATTACGCTCCCAATCAAATGCCGTATAGTATCATTTTTAAACGCTACCGTAATAAATTAGTCCTGATATGCCCAGCGACCGTAATTCAGTGTTTGCCAACCTAAATAAAGATGGGCTGCAAGTGAGAGTAATGCTGCATTTCTTTTGCTCTTGCAGTGCTCCAATGACTCTGTGCTGGGCGCCGTGTTTCATCCCATGGACACTAATCTGATCGTCACCTGTGGAAAATCCCACATCAACTTCTGGACCATGGAGGGAACCACGCTAACCAAGCGACAGGGACTGTTTGAGGTAAGTTCACTGTAAGGTGAAGAACTCGATCCTCAGGCTAAACCCTGTAAAATGACGCTTTTCTGATGTAAGATGCTCTAGTAAAAGTTTGGAATGAGTAAGTCTCCTCACTCATTGATGGAGGAATCTTTATTGGCATCATAGAAAGCAAACTGCTTATTGGCTTTGATCTTGTCTCCTCTTCGTATAAGTCTCTGAAGCTGGAACGCCTCTTTGCCATAACCCTAATCTTGCTCCCATCTACAGATTCTCCATCGTACATTGGATTCTGCAAGGAATGAAGATTAATTTGAACTGTAATAACATTGAGACTTGATTTTAACGAAACACTTGACGTAAATTCATGTTCAAAATTTTTAAAAACTCTTTTATAAAGTGTCAACTAGGGCTGAAACAATTAATCGTGATTAAACGATTGTTGAAATAATCCTCAGCTAATTTAGTAAGCGATTCATTGTTAACTAGAGAATAGAGACTTTAAAACAAGCCTTTAGCTGACAGAGCAACCCATTTAGAGGAGTAATTATACCAAGATTGTAATAATTATATAAACCTTTTTCATTTAAGATAAAAAAATAAAATAAATTTCATCTGTCAATATGCTCTATCCAGAACTCAAATTAAATATGTTTTAGTTTCACCGGGTTTAATTTAGAAAAAAATTCCTCTTTAAGGGACTTTTTCTATCCAAATATTAATTGATTAATCAAACAAAATAATCGACAGATTAATCTATTAGCAAAATAATCATTAGCTGCAGTCCAAGTGTCAGTATTTATGTGCCACATAAGTTGTTTATAATATATAGTAAAATGAAGGTTGTAAAATCTTTTTGTATTTTCAGTATAACCTGGTGCTTTTCCTGCTGGTGTTTAAGATTAAATCATCTTTATTCATCTAACTTTAAAAAGCATGAATATTAAAGCTGTGAATCTCTGAATCTGTCTCTGTAGAAACATGAGAAACCAAAGTATGTGCTGTGTGTGGCTTTTGCTGAAAACGGAGACGCCATCACAGGAGACTCCAGTGGTAACATCTACATCTGGGCCAAAGGTAGCCTCCCAATCACCCACCTGGAAACCTTAAGCTCAGTGCTCATTGATGATCACTCTACAAATACAGAAACATCCAACATGTCTGCTGTCCTCTCTGCTCTGTCAGGCGGGAACCGCATCAGCCAGGTGGTTTCAGGTGCGCATGAAGGGGGCATTTTCTCCGTCTGTGTCCTGAAGGATGGTACCATGGTGACCGGAGGTGGGAAAGACCGCAAGGTGGTGCTGTGGGACCACAGCTACAAGAAACAGGCTGAGATGGAGGTAGGAAGGCTGCAGCTGTCCTTTATAAAGGAGAAAATGATGAGAAGAGGGTGGTGACAATATTTCCTGTTTGATTTTGAAACTCTGGAAAGCCTGGAAACGATGTATCCCTTTGCTAAAATGTATTTTCTCTCCTATGATCTTCATTTCTCCTCTAGTTTCTTTGTTTTGGGTCTTTTTTTTATTTTGTCCCTTCTGTGCCCTTACCTCTTTCCTCCTTTGTGTCTAATTTTCCTTACTTGTGAACCATTTTCCCTCTCTTCTTCTTCTTGCTGCACTGCAAAAATGTAAATATAAGAATTATTATTTTTTTAACTTGAATTAAGTGTATTTTATTTTTATTTAAGCAGATCAGAAAATTTTCCAATGGAATAAGTTGATTCAAATCTAAAATAAGAAAAAGGAAACATCTCTGCTACCTTATCTCAACAGCATGATATCTAATTATCTTATTTTAAGGCAAGGAAAGTTTATTTGCATAGCACAATTCAGTACACGGACAATTCAAAGTGCTTTACATGAACTGTATAATAAAATAGAAAGCATATAAAGATTTTAAAAAAATAGTAAAACAAATACAATAATAATAGAGACAAAGATATTTGCAGGTCATGTTATTTACCTGCTGAAATTAAAAGATAAGCTCTTATTTTAAGAAAACTCCTTATTTTCCAATCCATTTTTGCAGTTTTTCCCCTCACTCCTTTCTTTTTAGGTAACATATTAATGTGGCCTGTCATAATGTAAATAAATTCTGTCTCCTACTTTTACGATTAAATTAGCTGAATTCAGTTTGGATCCATTCAAGTTCTCTGCTTTCTGTGTCCAGGTGGCTGAATCCCTGGGCCCTGTCAGGGCTTTGGCTGAAGGGAAACCAGGTGAACTTTTCGTTGGAACCACCAAGAACGCCATCATCAGAGCGGCCTTCCCCGATACCTTAACCCCTATAGTACAGGTTAAACGCCTCAAACTGTTTCCCTGTAAATCTATCCTCCCAGCGTTACAGACCTGGGCGTTTTAAAGCCCATCTGTGTTTGCAGGGTCACACAGATGAGCTGTGGGGTCTGGACATCCATCCCTCCATGGAGCAGTTCGTTACCTGCTCACAGGACAGACTGGTTCACCTCTGGGACACCCACAGCCACCAGCCCCTCTGGAGCAAGACCATTGAGGTGAGCAGAAAAATAAATAAATAAATGCACTGCAAAAAATAGAAATCTCAATAAGTTATTTTTTCTTAAAATAAGTGTGTTTTTCCTTGATTTGAGGAGGTAAGTAAGACACTTTGCCAATGGAACAAGACAATTTCCTTTTAAAATAAGAAAAAACAATTTTATCTTCTTATTTCAAGTAAATATTATCTAACTATCTTATTTTAAGAGTGAAAATACTCATTCCATTGGCAAATCATCTTATTTACCTGCTCAAATTAAGGCTAAATATACTTAATTTAAGCAATTTTTTACTGATTTCTGGATTGTTTTTGCAGTGTGAACATTTAATAAATGAGCTAATCAAACTAAAGAAAATTAAATTGTCTTTTCCAGGATCCAGGAAGGTCTGCAGGTTTCCATCCCAGTGGAGCTGTTCTGGCTGTGGGCACCATGACTGGAAGGTCAGTCCAGGAACATTTTGCTCCACAGCTGCAATAAAAACTTCACTTCCAGCCTCAGATTCTTGTCTTGTGCAGTTGCCTCTACAGTATGATTGTTGCCACTTCTTGTAAAGATTTGTAAAATGCCTCCAATTATACTCATACTGAAGAAAGTTAACCTTCTCTCTGGACAAATATTTGAAATCAGACTATATGAATATTTATTATCCAATAAGTCCATAGTAGAGGTCACCAAAACTTTATTTTAAGGTTTTTGTAGTTCAACTAGTATAATGCAATGTGAACATGTGTGAACTAGACTGTGCTTTATGTTATCTATTACAGTAGTAGCATTTAAAATGTCCCCGCTTTCCTTGATGGGCCCTTGGCTGGTCCCCTACAACTCCTTTTTAAACATTAATCTTTGTACTGAAATATTCTTTCTGTCATAATTTGTGGACGTTAAGAGCTAAAGAGAAGCAGCTTCTCCTGGTCAGACCCTGTAATTCAGTGAAGTCAGTAAAAAAAATATGCACGCCTAGGAGATGGCCAGAGGCTGGAAGTTAGAGGGGATTTTGCTGGGAGTCGCTGGGGAGTAGGTTGCAATTCAGCTGTCTATGCTGTTCTTCAACAGTTAGCTCTGACTGTTTTTTTTTTTTTTCTTTCTCTCACTTATAATCCTGGTGCTTTGCACAGTGGAAAGATGAACTCAGGTCCTTGTGAAGATGTGTTTTTCACAGTTTCAGTTGTTTACACTTTTAACTAGTTGCTCTGATTGTAGTCCTGGTTAAGTTGACAAGATAATCTCTTGACTTCTCTTTGACTTTTTGCAGTTTTCTGTCATTAGATTGATACTTGAATTGCCTTTTTTCTAATTTTTTCAACATTAAGTGGCTCATCTGAATTTGTTTTTTTTTTTTTCGTATATATTATAGATATTAGTTATAGACTACTAAAAGTACATCATTAACATTGATTAAAGGTATAGAGGAGGATGTTCTTTTTCCAGGTGATTCATCAAAATAAGTGGTCGACATCAGTAAAGTTAAATTATTATATTATAAAATATTATTGTTATATATTTACGTAAGGTAGTCCCCATTTTCACTTGCCGCTGGTGAGTCTGACATAGTGGAAAAATTGCAAATCTTTTGGAAAGTAAGTTCGTATGAGCGATGCAAACAACAACTCTTAAACAGAGCGTGCACAAGGAGAAATGGGCTCGTGCACGCTCTCGCACGCGTTTAATAGGCCTCCCCTGTCGGGATTGTGCATGTGCATTTTTTTGCATGTGCAAGTAGAAAGGACGGGTCTTTTCAAAAATTCTAGAAAATCCTCCTATACCTTATAAGTTTAGTGGTGACAAATTATGTTGTGATTTTGATAACTTATCTATGACCTTATTTTTGTTCTACATTGAATAAACGCATTCGGTTTCATCAAAAGAAGAATTTATGTAATTTCATTATTTTTTTTTTTTTACACTTTTATCTGTGGAGTGGATAACCATGTAACCTGCTCTGTTACCAATGAGGCGTAATCTTTTTTCAGGTGGTTGGTGCTGGACACCGACACTCGCGATCTAGTTTCTATGCACACAGATGGCAACGAGATCATTTCAAACATCAAATACTCTCCAGGTAAACGTCCTTATTAACCCATCCTACCTGTAACCAGGCTGTTTTTCTACCAGCTGCACTCTGACCTGGGATCTGTTTGTGCTTCTAGATGGTAACTTTCTGGCCGTCGGCTCTCATGACAACTTTGTCTACATCTATGCTGTGAGCGAGAACGGCAGGAAGTACAGCCGCGTGGGGAAATGCACTGTAAGTCTGTCGCTGTGCTCTAAATGTACTTTGTTAAAGAAAAAGACTTTCTCAGGAACTTGGGTAATAGTTGAATTAAAATGCTCCTCATTCTTCAGGGTCACTCCAGCTTCGTCACCCACCTGGACTGGTCCAAAGACAGCCAATATCTCGTCACCAACTCAGGAGACTACGAGATCCTCTTCTGTACGTCATTCCTGTTTTCTATTTGCAAAGTTGCTTCACCTAAAACAGGACAACTTATCACTTTAAAACTCTAAATAAAAAGTGTTTAAGCTGCAATGATTGATCAGAACGTCACCAAGATGTTTCATTATTATTCAGGGGAGGCATCCAATGGCAAACACGTGACCAACATGGACATTGTGCGTAACCTGGAGTGGGCCACTTCTACCTGCACTCTGAGCTTCAACGTCTTTGGTAGGTCCTTCAGAAGCAACGTTATAATATCGGCTTAAAGCTAAAGCATCATTTAATATCTGATGGATTATAAGTGTCACAGGATGCATACCTGATTAAAAAAAGGTGGAATCACATTCGATTTTAGAAGGATGTATGGGGAAGAGTCATCATACAGCTGACAAAAATAACCGAAAATAGTATTAAATTAATGTGTTGATTTAAAAATATGCAGAGAAAACATATCGATTGATACTTTTTTTGCAGCAGTTCTGATTTCCTGCTTGGTTCTTTAGCGGTTCAACGAGGAAGAATAACTTTCTTTTTCAAACACATTTCAGTATACAGGCATCTTTTTTTATTTTTAAATTAACAACAAAGATTTCCAGACGGCTTTTGATTCAAGTGACAAATTCTATTAAATCCTAAAAGCCAAAGCAATATCTGTGTTTGCAGTACAACATAATATCTAGCTGGATGCTATAGAAAAGATTATTTGCCCGTTTTCAGCCCTCTAGTTAGTTGTTTGATCTCTAATCATTCTTGTATTTCGCACTTTGGCCACTTGGTGGGTCTTCGAATCCACCGGTGCAATAGAATGCAGCACAGACTGCTTTAATCTGTTACATCAACAGTGTTCTTCGTCTTTAAAAAAATAAATAAATACACTTAGACAGATCCATGTTCCGTGCATTAAAGATAAAGACTGAAGTAAAGATTACTTCCAGTTAAAACCTGGATCTGGATAGTCAGTTTTTCCTTTACAACTCACCTGGACGTATACATTCACTGTCCTTGCTAATTTAAATAACATCTGTTCACACTGTATGTCGGTATTATATTTGGCTGGTTCCATTATTGATCTTCAGGTGGACCAGATGTTTATTTCCATTGGCTGATTGTTGCTAAAGCTCTAAGAAAACGGTGAAAAAAATGGAATAGAAAAGAAAGAATTGGATGAACTTTAACTGTGATGAAATTAGTTTTAAATGTGACTAAAGCTTAGAAAGTAGAGTGTGTTGTTTTGTAATATCAAAGTTGTAGTTTCAGCTCTTCCTCCTTCTGTCACTGTGTCCTGGTCTCTTCTGTTTAAGATAGAGATCAACTAGAAAAGCACAATAGAAGTCTATTATTATTAATGTTGCCCCGATGCCATTTTTTTGGCCCTGATACCTAATACCCGATACCTGGCTGTGCAGTATAGGCCGATAGTGATACCATCTGTTTGAAATTGATGTGTGTGTGTGTGTGTGTATATATATGAAGAACTACATAAGACTTGGATGTAAAATAATTGCCATCATGGCTTTGTCAAGCTGCTGCCTATCTTTGTGAAGCAAGAAAAAGACTAATCCAAAGTGAATCTAGTAGAACATCTTATTGCCTCCCTGGAATGGGTGACAATAGTTGAATAAACTGTTGGCTCTCAAAATGATATCGGTTCCCTATTTGTACCGTTTTAGTGCTGGATCGCGACCCTGCCTGATACTGGTATTGGTGCAATACTAATTATTAGAAGCTGTATCGTTTCAATTGCTGTTAAAGAAAATGCTGAATGCAGTTGATGAAACAAACTTGCTAAATATCAGATGATCTAAGTCACTTTAAACAGTCTGTGTAACCATAAAAAAACAGAAACACTTTAGTTTTTCTTTAATGTCATCCTCATTCCCTGTTCCTTTTGACTCTAAAACTCCTGGCTACCTGTGGTGATGCAAACACTAAGATCTCTGGACTGTAAAGCTACTGTAGGAAATGTCAGAGAGAGATGGTTCTAGATGGTGGCAGGCATTTCATGGTTTCATTATTTTTTTTATGAAAAGATTTATTTATTTATTTATTTTTACACAAATACCCACAGAGGTCCTCCTTTATTATTTCCTGCCTGCTAAAAAACAGAACATGATGTGAATACCAATATTTATCTCCTGCTGACTCCCCCCCGCTGTCCTCCTCTTTGTCTCCCAGGAGTTTGGCCAGATGGAGCAGACGGCACAGACATCAACGCCGTGTGCAGGTCACATGATGGATCCCTGCTGGCCTCTGCTGATGACTTTGGCAAAGTGCACTTGTTCTCCTTCCCCTGCTCCCAACCAAGGGTCGGTCACATTCACCACCAGTTAGCCCGCTTCTAGCCTCCACAATATCTCACATTTCAGCTTTAAAATGTAGCATAAAAATCACCAGGTTTTTTTTTACAACTTTGTAAAAGACATAAGAAACCTAAAGAGGGGAAAAAAACAAGAATGTTCAATGCTTAAAACCATTAAACATATAAATCACTTCCACCAACTTAAATTTAAAGATACAACAGGTTTTAAAGCTTTATAGTTTACTCTAAACGCCTTTTATTATGGGCAATAAACTAAAACCATTTAAAAAACAAAAGTATATTGAATATTTTACTAAACTTTAAGCAAAATATTATTCTGAAACTATAATTAGTTCCAGTAAAATGTACTTAAATTAAAGAAGAGAGTTTTTTTAGTAATTTTAGCCTTAATTTAAACTCCTCCTTTAATGAAGAGATCAACTAAAACATAATCTAATATCAGATCAGTGTCTGTTGTCTCACTCAGTATCTCTGAGCCACTGAAAAAAAATGTCTGGAATGAAATGTTCAAAAACTAGATCAAAGATCATCGATCAAAATATTTGGTGGATGAAAAACATTCTGTATGGTGGTGAGAACACCTGTAATGTTCTGGTAAGAAAAGGTAATTTTACAGACGAATAAAAGATTGTCCTTTTTATGGAGAAGAATGTTTAAAATTTACAATGTGCAAATATAATGCGAAATGTCTGAGATACAAGCAGGAACATTTTGTTTTCTCTAAGATTAAAATGTCTACATATCTACATATATGAACTTAAATCAAATAAGTGTTTTTTTTTCATTAATTCTTCAATGTGACTTTCTTGCCAATTTAAATTATCTTAATTCCATAAGAACCAGTGAGTAAAAATTATACAAAACATTTAGGAATAAAACTAAAGTTTTAATAGATTTTCTTTCTTTTTCCTCCCCCGTTCCCTCCTTTAATATTACTTTTTGATAACCAACCCCACAGCATGTGATAATCAATATAGAGTCTGTTTTGTTTGTTGCAGGTGAACCTTTTTATCTAGTTATTGTATTCAATAACTTTTGAATATAATAAGATACGGGATAAAAAGTAAATACTTTAATAGAGCCTTTAAGCTTTGTCCTGATACAAAAATATTTTTTTCCAGACAAACTTTTATATAGGAATTTGGCACAAATGTTGAAAATGTAACTAGGATCACCTGTGTCCCCTAACTATGAATTGAGTGAGATTTAAAAAAAAAAAGGTCAGTGTTCATCGTCATGGTGATTAATCTGGCTATCTGCTCTGCTAGAGGCAGTAGTCAGCTGCTAACCCTTCATAGGGAGAGTTACTGCTTTCGATCACTTGCAAACGCGTTACAAATGGAGTCTCCCCCCATCCCTCAGTGAGATCTAGAAGCACAAGATCTATATCCAGCCATTCAGCAAAGATACTACTACATGGCTGTACATCTCATTTCAACAATTAGATGAGCACTTGAATGATATATTACCTACTGTAAATTAGTAATTGATAACAAGTCAATAAAAAAGTTAAAAAGCTAATTGAAAAGTTAAAAAGTAAAGTTAAAAAATTAATAAGCCTAGTTAACAATTATATTTAGGTTTATAAACTAAAAAATGTAAGTGCCAGTATCAGCATTAATGCCTCTAAGGTTATGTTGGACCAAAAAAATTTTTTCTTTTACTCTGTTTGTTTTTTATGAATTTCTTATTGAAGCGCTTTATTTTTCTTAATACATATAATAATCAAAAATCTTGTTATTACATTGACATTCATTTTTTCCATCAAAATATCCATATTTTTTTAATGTTACAAAGGTAATAAGGTCTTGTCCTGCATTCCAATAACACTATTGGCTTGAAATTTTGATTTTCAAAGTATTTCACTGAGTGCCCTATAAAGGGTTAATAGAGATCCCATAGTTTTAAAGCTGTGGTGCTTTGATAAGAGAGATGGTTGGTGCTACTTCTGCCTCTACAGCACATGTGCACATTTTTCACCAGAAATATTATAAAACGGCAGAATTTATCTTTCCTGCAGGTGAAAGGCATACAGTAACAGCCTGGCTTCATTACAGCTTGATAACTTTGACATTTTGTTTTTTTTTTTTGGATCTCCATTAAAAAACTCTTTGAACATTTTGGGAGCACTAATTGATCTGTTGTTTAGCCATACTGTGAAAAATGGGGTTAAATACATTTTGAAGCTTTAATGTATTATTAATTTATTCTAAACAGGCTCCAAGTCATGAGTACGGCGGCCACAGCAGTCATGTGACCAACGTTGCCTTCCTGCACGACGACAGTCACCTGATCTCCACCGGCGGGAAAGACACCAGCATCCTCCAATGGGTCGTTGCCTAGAGACCACCTCGACCATGTCCAACCCCGCACTCGCATCTTCACCGTTATATCCTTCCCTGCCAACAGGTGGCAGCACCCCTCTGTGCCTACTGGAACATAAATTACAGCAATGTTCCACAGGGGTCAATGCAGACCACAATAATCAGTAGTGATAAACGTGAAACGTTTATGAAAGAGAATTTAGGTTTTAGTGATGCGGAAATGTGATATTATCTGGTTTCCAGCTGGATGGTGAAGATGGGGACCACATGACATGCCGGTGATTTCTCACATTAGTACTTCCTGTGCCTGAACCGTCTTCATCTTAATCCCCTTTAAATGGAACTCCACCTTTTTTAGAAGGCACACTTTGGGCTAAATGGGGCTCCTTTATTATGAAGCACTTCTAAATGCACATTTCTAGTTCTGGTTACACCTAAATTCTTCTATCATACTTTATTCAATATGATAGAAAAACCCCAAAAGAACCGCACTTCATTTATTTTGTTTGGGCACAAATGCAGTCTATTATTCTGAGCATGCACGGGTCTCTCCTTTAACTGAAAACTACAGTTTCACCTTTAAACTTGAAACAAACTCTTGCAGGGATTTAGTAAAGTAGAATGTAATTTTATCAGTTTTAAATTCCAAAGTTGGAGAGATTGGTGTGTTTTTTAGAAAAAATTGACTGACCTGAAAATGATGTTGGATCGTAAAACAGCTGGAGTTCCCCTTCAACTACTGAGGATGACCCCTTTGTCTTGTTCTCTTCCACTTATCCGTCAGCTTGATTTCCCCTTGTCCTGTTGAGGTGAAGATTGTTCCTAAATGTTCATCTGTTGCTTTAGGAGATGAGCAGTATAAAGTGTCTGTTTCATTTCAACCCTCTCTCCCCATGCTGCTGTGTTTTGATTGTACTACTGTAACTGTGCTGAGATGGCACTAGGTGGCGCTGCAGTGCAAGAGAATGAGCATGACTGAGGCTGCCCTCCTGCTGTAGATGCTCCTAATGTCTGTAATCTTCTATACTCCACAGTAGATTTGAGTGACCGTGTTATTTTAATATTTATCTCTAACAATAATGGATGTTAATATAATTGTGGCACTTTTAGCTGTGGACAGAAATAATATGTAGGCTGCTGTGCTGTTGCAGTGAGCTGTGCTTTGCCTTCTGCTTTGCTAATAAATTTTTTTTTTTACCCAAATGTTCTGGAGGATTTTTATGTAAAAAAAAAAAAAAAAAAAGCAGAAATATCTAATGCTAAATTAACTTAATATATACCATCACTGCTAAATAGTTTATATCTATTGAAAATTCAGTAACATCTTTACTGAATCACATATTTCCTTTTATTGAATAAACAAATTAAACCAATTAAATTACAGGTGGACTTTGATTCCGAACATTAATAGCTGATAAAATTTGCAGCATCTAGTGCGAACAACCTCTTTAATTTTTTTATTTTTTTTTTTTTAACCCAATGCTGTAAAACGGTATCATATTAATACTTTATGATGAGGCCGGGAAGCTCCATGTGCTTTACAATAGCATAAAATGTTTTAAAACAGCTTTTTGTCATTTAAAACAAAAGAATAATAAGAAAACCTAATTGCATTGTCTTAGTTCAAGTGCATTTTATCTAAATATCTTAATTTAAGAGTAAAAATACTAATTCCATTGGCAAATCATCTAATTTGCCTACTAAAATTAAGGGTAAATACACTTAATTTAGGAATTTTACTGATTTCTAGATCGTTTTTCCAGTGTGTTGATTAGAAATGTTATAGTTTATTGAAATGTATTGTTCTCCCCACCAGCTTGTTCTACACTTCAGAAGCTCAATTGTGCCTGCAATTTGCAAAACTATTCTGTGTTTGGGATCTTCATATAGTTCCAGCATCCACCTGATAAAAGATTAAAGGGAATTTGTCAGGGAGCTTTTTAATACGCCAAGAAAACACAGGATACATCCCATTGTAAACTGGAGGATGCTGGAATCCCAGTTAAACCAGTTTATCTTTAACTTAGTCAGTAGAGAGCAAAGACTAACACTAATTTCCTTCAATCTGAAATGAGATTTACTGCTGTCTATATCGACAAACTTGAAGAGAAACATTTTATTATTCAATAAAATATTTTATCCTGAGAGTAATATTTGGATGTGAACAGCTCTGTTTCTTTCTGTAAAAGCAGTGATAACAGTGTCATGTTGCGGGGCTGTTAAGTGACCGGTTTGACAGCTGTTTTGCAGCAATTACATTTTGTTTTTTTTTGCGGACATTGAAGAAAATTGAAATTAAGTCAATGGAATATGAAAGTAAGAAGATTAACTTGAAATCAAATTAATAATGTGTGTTAAAAAGGGACAGGGATCACAAATGAATGTCCAGTTTTAAGTTTCCTTCTGCATCATCAAACCAATGGCACCACCCTGATGAAAATGACTGGATGACGTTTAAAGAGGGGTGTGTGGAGGAAAACCATCCAGTCTGAATGACTTCCATCAACTCTGCCAAGATGAGTGTTCAAAAATAAATCTGAATAACTTTGTAGAATATTGTTAAGAACCCACAAACAGACATACAAAACCCCAAACCTTATTATTTTTTTTTTTGAGAAAAAACGTTTTGTAGACATTTCACAATTGATCACAGTTATCAAAAATATTCAACTGTGAATGTTTTTAATAAAACGAAAATGTGAGCAAACAAAAAATGTAGTTTTGAAGCCATGATGTCATTTATTAGAGGAAAAGGCTATTTCAACCAACTTAATCTAAGTAACAAATAATTATCTTCCAAACCTAACTTATGGCAATGGTTCTCATTAAATGTGAACTGGACCGGCCCTATGTCACGTTTTTAGACAGGTTCTGTTTGAGCCTGTATTAGTTTTGCTGATCTACTGGTCAGGCAGTGACTGGGTCTAAGCATGTCTGGTGAAAATGATGCTAAATTATACTTTATCTTTTTATTTCTTTTGAAAGAGAATCGAGTCATGAGAAAACAAAAAAGGACAGAGTGGTTCTCATGTTCCCCGAGACATTTAATCAAATAAAACAGAACAGAAAGACCCCGACAGTCTGAGGTCTTTTCCGCTGGAGTACAAGCCTAAGGCATGACCACACACACACACACACATCACCCTAACCTCACACACTAACAAGTGCGTACATTTCATTTGGGAGGATATCTGAGTTTTGTTGAAAAACTTGGTTTCATGACCCCAAACTTCATCTGAAGATTATCTCACCTAAAAGATAAAACAGCTTTTTATCCTAAAAAATGTTTAAAATTAATTAAAAAACAATATCAGAAGGACTGTATGTAAAATAACAGGTTATTTTATTTTCCTCTCATTTAAACTGTTATTTATTAACAAATGTGAGATTTCTAGCAGCAGGATCTCTCTGCAGAAAAAAATATCAACTCTGATCCAAACTCTGAACTCTGAACCGAAGCAACGTACAACTAAAACCAAAACAAACAATATCATATGTGCTGCAAACTTCGTAGAACACTGCTGTGTGCCAAGATGCTGTTTGAAATAAGGCAAACAACAACTAATACTTCTTACAATGTTTCAAAACACTGTAAAAAGATGTGACATGCGAAAACATCTCAACAATGAATAATAAAGACCACCAATGATTCCTACTAAAAACTTAACATTGTCCTAAAACCAGTAAGTTTTCATTCAGTGAAGCCAAACTTTCACTAGAGCTTTATTTTGCATTAATCTAACATACAGTAAACATATGTCTTTTTAGTTCTCTTATTATCATGTCTTTTTATTTTGATTTTGGATCATTACAGATCTTATTGTACAATTCAAAGGAGAGCATATGAGATAAATTAATTACTTATTAAATATAGACACGTTTTATGCATCACAGTATTTCCATTTCGATTAAAACTGAAATAATACTAGAGTTAATTGAAATAAAACTTACTGGATAAATAGTAAATAAAAAATAACCTAAAGCTTTATTTTAGTTATATAAACTACTCAAAGTACTCTACATCAGAGTCAGATTCACCCAACTGCCCTCAATAACTAAAACAAAGTGACCGGGGTTAAGTGGACATGTGACAGTGGAAGCTGGAATTCAACCCACAACCTTCATATTGAAAGAATGACACTCCACCCATGAAGCCAGAGTTACTCACTGTGCATCTATTGCTTTTTCTCTTTTGATGAAAGAAATAAACCGAGAAGAGCTGCAAAGTATTTGTTGTAAACTTAAAAAATCTGTCAAAAGTTAAAAGAATTTGAGTGATTACTATAAAGATAAATCAAGAATTTTAATATTGAAATGTGAAAAATCTTTGAATATGTTTTTCTCTTTAAGCAAACCAACCTTCTTGCTAGGTACGGCTGGAATAAATTGAGTTTAGACACCAATTAAAACTGGAAGACTTATCCAAGCATCACCTCCACGAATCAGCTTACCATGCGCCTCTGTTCCAGCCAATCAGCTTCAAGTCCTCCTTCCTCTTCAGCCATCCGGTAAGGCTCTGATTAAAGCTCTCCGTTCGTAGGCTGAATCCCAAGCCGCCCCCTAACCACTAACCTTTAAGTGTCGCTCCTAATGAAGTCTCACTCACAGCTGTGGGAGGCCCCTGGGTTATACGTGGGGGGTTTTAACGAGAATGGGAAGGCATCTTCCATCCAATGGAAAAGGAAAGTAGTCATTGCTATGGCAACACAGGGATGCCACATGTGCATGAGTGTTAGCTCTCTGGAGCTGGTTGACTATGAATTATGTATTACACACAGATAATTCAAACATTATTACTCCAAAACAGCAAAGAACAAAAGCATTCTTATTTCTACTTTGACAATTTTGGCTTTTTTTTGTAAGAATTTACACCTTGGTTTCTGCTGCTCTGGGTTCAAAGTAGATTTATATTCAAAGGGGTCTGATATAAATAAATTACATAAAGACCCTACAAAATTGCCTTAGAATACCATGGAAATCCGGACCTAAATTTCAAGAATATACTAACTAAAATATTGACATGTATAAAGGAAACGGAGAAAATGTTTTAATGACAATGCAAGGAAGCATTTACTTCATATTTGAATAGATATAAACAAGAACTATGAGAGAGACATATTCAAAGATCTATGTACTTTTTCATCTGAATCTTTATCCAAAAATAAAAAGAATGCAATTAAATATTTGCTTTGGATATGATTTAGGGATTACTTGTTGTAGAAAATTAAAGTATGTTTTGTATCACCTCTTGTGAGCTGGAAGAAATAAAATCTTGATAGTTATACAGTTACACTTGGCAGAGGATGATCAGCCACATATAGTTTATTAAGTAGCAAGGGCTGGAAGAGCCATACTGCAGAGAGCGAACCATCCCAGTGTTCGAGCACAAGCACAGACTGAGCTAAGCATGTGCAAAGAAGCATTTCTGCACAAGCACAGCTGGAAGAGCAGTTTGTCAGAGTTCAGAGCGCAGTACTGGACTATTCCGGGTTACTTTAATCCCTGCTGCCATGGTTCATCTGTCGTCATGCAGAATGTGCAACGCTGGACATCAGGTGTATAACCAAGCAGTACGCAGTTGCATGGCTGATACTGCTTAGCTTGCCTAATAGATTGCAGCACGATTATGCATTTTAAACTTCTGACAGACAGCCTATTTAATCTCGTCTCATCAACAAAAATTCCCATCCATGACTTGTCATATTTTCACCATCAAAGATCCATGTTTAGCTCGTCAGGTTTTTGTCATCGTGTCAATTAAATTATTTCATCATCGTCATCATTGATGAATGACCCTTAATATGGCAGACCCTCCACGAAAATGTGCAAATGGAGGATTAGTGCTTCAGGGAAGTGTTTAGGGGCCGGTTTGGGATTCAGCTCCAGACTCTTGTGGTCTTCACCTGAGCTCTGAGCCGCCTCCACCCCATCTCCTCCATCATGCTCTGAAGCTTCTTCTGGGGTTGCTTCTCCTCTGGCCTCCATTCCACTAACAGTGTTCGGATCCCGGGGGACGGGATATCTAATCCTAATCTCACATTGATCATCCAAGGTCATCACAATTCACAGCTTGTATGTCTTCTGCCGGGGTCTGAGCGCCAAAGAATTGTCAGATTCACTAATAAATCTCCAACATTTTGATTGGTAGTGTTGGAGATAAAAAGGCAGGATTTGGGCAAAAAAAAACTAAGACAAACAGTATA